ACACGTGCATACATGAATGTGGCGCCCCCTGCTTGACTACCCTCCTCCTGCTCCCTCCAGCCCCAAGCAGCATCTTGCAAGCTGAAGCTCTGACAGCCTGCAAAGGGAAACCTGTGATTTCCCACATTTTTCTCCTTTAAAGGAGAATCCATTTTCAAAGTTTGTTCACAACCCTTTCATATATTCTTGTGATCCACTTTTGGTTGTGATCTATGGGTTGAGAAACGCTGAACTAGAGTACTGTATGCAGTTCTGGGTTCTACATTTAAAGAAGGATGTAGAGAAGCTGGAGAGAATCTGGAGGCACTTGATAAGAATGCTAAAGGGGTTGAAAAGCAAGATATATAAGGAAATGTTGAGGGCCTTAGGTTTAGTTTGGAGAAAAGGAGATTAAGGGGAATCTTAATAGCAGTTTTCAAATATTTGAAAGGCTGCTGTAGAGAACAGTTCTTCTCCCTTGCTGTAGAGAGCAGGACACAATACAGTGGTTTTAAATTGCAGAAAAGCAAGCTAGTGTTAGATCTCAGGGGGGAAAAAACCTTCCTTACTGTTAGAACAGTGAGGATGTGGAATAGACTGCCCAAGGAAGTTGTGTAATTTCCTGTATTGGAGATTTTCAAGAAGAGGCTGGTTAAGCATTTGATAGGCTAGTCTGGGAATAGCATCCCTGAAATTGTGCAAGGGGTTAGTCCAGATGACTCGTGGGGTCCCTTCCAACCCTCCGATTCAACGAGTCCATGAGCTGCCTTGGAGATGGGGAGATGTAATGTTTACAGCAGTGACACATGTTAAGCATTGGGGCGTGGACAGTCTAGCCTAGGTTAATAGCCCAAAATGTAAGTATAGTCCAGATTGAATCCACAGGGAGCTGGGGTCCAGAGGAACTGGATTAGGAAGCTGTAGCTAAAGTCAGAACAAGCTGGGGACAAAGTCTAAAACTGGAGACGGAGTAAGCCAAAGCTTAACTGGGATTGGAAGCCAAAAGCCAAAGTTGAGGGTCAAACCAGAATTATGATCAGGGCACCCGAATCAAGGAATGCCGAGGTTCTTGCCAGCTTCGGAAGCCGGAGTTGGAACCAGGAGTCAAAACCAGAAGATCAGCAAGAAAACACATGAAAGGTCAGGAGCAAGAACATTCATCTTTGCCGAGACAAGGAGCCTCCAGGTCGGGCCTGGCTTTTAAGGACTGGAGTAGGTGGGGCCTCTTATGGCTTCATGGGATAGCCATGGCTTCCCTGGCTGCCCCCCTCAGCCCAGCTGTGACCAGGGTGCTGCTCTGGGCTTGCTGCAGGTGGTATTTGTTCTGGGGATCATTTGTCCTGATCTCTTGATTGGGACTGGCTAGGTCCAGGGTTCTGGCTTGGCTTCATTACAACAGAAACTAGTCCCAAACAGGAAGACAGACTCCCAGGATCCTCCTGGGCCTGCTTCTGGGCTGGGGCTTGGGTTGGAGCCTTCTCTTCATCTTCCGGGTCTGTGCACCATCACTATTGGATGGAGCTGGGTCCATCCCAGGTCAGTGACAAAGCAGGTGATCAGCAGTGCACCTCCACTCTGACAGTTTCACCGACACCCATCCTCTCTCTTACTCTGCCTCAAATTGGCCACAGGTCCTATGAGGCCCATTCAGTCCCAGACCTAGGGTGTGCAGGACTGGTAGTACCTGAAAATGTGCAATTAAGGATTCCTGTTTTCACGGATGCCAGGCTGGAGACGATTGTGATCTCCTGTATCAGGGGCTTGATTGTCAGTTTCAGCGACAGACTCACGAGGTTGGTTCTCTTCCATTTAGCATACCCTAGAAACTTCTCCTGGGTCATCAGACTGTTTTAGGGTTTCCATCTCAGTTGGTGGTCAGGCAGCTAATGACAGCTAATGACAATTTGCATTGTCTCTCCATATTAACATGGCCAGTCCCCTTCCACCTTCCCAGGCAGCGAGGCACTCCCTGCTTACAACTGGCAGCTATCCCCACATGGACCTGCTGCAGGACCAAGGGAAATCATGCCTCGCTGGTCTCTCCCATCATCTGCATCGTTGAATGATGCTGTAGTGACCCCTTGTTATTGCATAACTTCTTCTTCCCTCCTACTCCCCTGCCATGCCTTGCTTTGTTTTTTTTAAAAAAAGGGTTGGGAGGCTGCCCTAGGCCAAGAGGAAATCTAGTCCACAGCCAAGTTATTTTCTGTTCAACCTACCAGGGCCCTTTTGGCTTTATTGGTACCTCTGGGCACTGGGTGCCTTAAGGACTGTGTTCATGTTTTCTGACCACCCCTACAGCCATGTCCATACCTTACAGGTGTACAGGTTATTATCTCAATTGGGCAATTTTTGCCCCAGCTCAATGTTTAGCCCTTCAGGCCTCAAAGCATTTGTGGGAGCTTCAGCCTTCCTGGCCTTGGCTCCTTACATCTAGCTGAGCCCCCTTGCCTAAAGGCCAACTGCCTGGGGACCTCAGCTCCCAGTCCCCAGCCCTAGTCTTCTGCCTGGATCCTGACCCATTTCATGCTCTCACCCTTCCTGGGCTCCTGTCTCTTGTGCACACCCTTCTTGGGCTTCAGTCTCTGGCTCTCACCCTTCCTGAGCTCTGGCCTTGGCCCTCCCAGCCTCAGGCTGCCTCTATATTGTCCTGCCTGGCTCAGGACTTTGCCCTCTAGGCTTCAGCTTGCCTGAATTGTGCCTGGCCCTAGCAGAGCTCAAACCTTCCTGTGCCCCTTGGCCCTGCTGTAAATTGCACCCCTGGCCCTGGCAGGGATCCAAAGCTCAGTGTGACCCTCAATGCACCCCAGTAGCCTCCTCTTTCCTTCTTGTAGCCACTGGTCCACCAGTCTAAACTACAACATAAAGGCCTTAACAACCACCCCCACCCTCTCTGGGTAAACAAACACCATGAAACAAAGGTAAGCTGTGGCTTTAGTGAAAACATCCTCCACTCTGAGTAAACAAAGAAACATCAGGGTAGCTTTCATCTTGCGTTCTCACCTCTCTGCCTTCAGAGTGCTTCTGCTCCTGCAAGGGTCAGGCGGCTGCTCTCTCTGGAGAGCTTAGCTTCCTGTCAGGCCCCCTGCCTCCAAAGCATTTGTCTTATCTACTCCAGGCACTGCCTTATCCGAGTCAGGTGAATCGCAAGCTCACACAGGGTGTTGACAGACATGCAGGTCCCCTCTCTAACTCATGGCACTTTGCATAAAGTGCCATGAGTTAGAACAACCACCCTGACCCAACAGACATTCTCCTATTGGATCAGAAAGGGTGGGGTGAGGCAAGTTGGGCCTATCTGCCTGTCCAGTGACTGGGGCTGGGCTGATGCACCCTGCCCCTCTTCCAGCTTGGGTGCTGTCTGCAGGAAGACCTGGGGGAGGGAGGAAGGGGAAGTGAGCTGTGGACTGTAGTTTGCCTGGCCTGAACTGAAGGAGGGGGGTAAGGGGGAGCCCTGAGACAGGGGGGCTCCAATTTACCTGCTCCCCCTCCAGCTCAGGCTGGGCAAACCCTGGCCTGTAACTCCTCCTTTCCCCTCCCTTCCTGCAGACACATAAGCCCAGCCCCAATCATGCTGACAGTGACCCTAGGAAACACAAGTTCCCTAAGTTGCTTCACTTTGGAGTGACTTTATCTGATCCCTCATTAAATGAGGGTCAATTTGTTGCATGATCAGCCACTTTTAAAGCACTCTGCAGCCTTGCACATATATCATGGCACGACTGAAGAGTGTTTTCAGGGGGCCAATCAAGAAAAATACATAAATGTCTGCCCCCACAGGCTGGCCAGCTGTGTTCCCCCCCTCTTAGTAACAGGAGCCTCTGGCTCCCTGCTACAGGTGCCCACCTCCTATGGGGAGGAGTCAGACCCACCTGGCTTTGCAGCATGGCTGCTTCTCTCTCCCAGTCTCCAACTACTGGTTGGACCATCCCCCAAAGTTCTCTTGGTCTCCCAACACACACTACTGGTGTCAGCCCATTACTTCCAGGGCTGTCCATGGGAGCAAAACTGCTTTCTTCCCTGTTTCAATTGCTGTCTGGATGGGACCCTTCCAACCCCTAAAGCTTCCCCATGTGTCCCATCATCTGCTTTCTCCTCACCTCATATTGCAGCATAGCAGCTATGGAAACAGAGCATCTCTTCCTTCAGCCCCATCTCCACCTGCTCAAGGGCCCCAGGACATGTAAGTTTCTTGGGGGAGGAAGCAGGGGAAAAACAGTGAGCTCTTTTAGCTAGATCGGGATTGTATTTGCAAAAGCAGAACTGGTAAAACAGAAAGTGTTTACAAAAGCCAGTGCCTAGTCCAGCATCACATACAACCCCCCTGCCCCCAACACACACACACCTTTGGGTATCTATCTCCATGGCAAAGAGCCAAAAATGCAAACCACATGAGAATCCTACAGAACCACAGGGATGGAACAGCACTTCCACAAAACTGGACCTCACCCCTGCTCCTCTGCCTCTCCTACCCTTGACTGCTGGGGATTCACAGAATGAGGGAAGGCCCTTAGACCAATGAGATTTTGTGTTTTCAGAAGCAATGGGTGAGCCTGTGGTACGTCCATCCAGTCATCCCTCCCCTGTAGTGACATTTTCAAATACACCAAGGAAATTGCTGCAGCTAAGGGCTCCCGGACTTTCACTGGGCATCCAGCAATGGAGCACTGAAGCTGAAGTAAGGAATCCTTTAGAGCCACAATGGCCAAACCACACCTTGTGAGCTGCAAGCGGCTTGCCAGCACAGTACTTGTGGCCCTCTGGAAATTGGCCAAAGCCCCACCCACTTCTTCCAGAGGTGGATCTGGTGAACAACACAGCCTGGCACCTCCTACTGCTCCAGCTTTCCCCATGGGGAGTGTGCCCCAAGCCCACCTTCCTCCCTCCTTTTCTCACTCCAGGACTGCTGGCTCAGTTGCCAAGCTGCCAGGGTGGGAGCTGCAGCTGCACCACTTACCCCAGTGTGCGCTCCCTGGTGGTGCGGGGTGTAGGGGTGGTGACCTCCACTCCAGGTCACTCAGCATCCGTCCCCCCCACCCCCC